CCCCAAAACCCCAAAACCCCAAAACCCCAAAACCCCAAAGCATTAAATAAGAACTGAAAAGTACATAAAGAATAAAAAGATAAGTCTATAATAATTTACAAATATTAAAGAAAATGATCAGTAGCACATCCGACTTAGACTATTTCTTTGGTAAGAGAGGCTATTATTTTCTTTTCGTGCACAGTATGTTAACAGAGACCAGCATGCTAATTCCGCATATTTTTCTTCCATTCAATATTAATTAGGATATGCAATCACAAGTGTTAATTGTTCGAATGTAGGAAACGATGCCCTGGACCAAGATATGCCGAATTCTAATCCACCCAAATACTTTGAAGAGCAGGTAAAATCTTTTCTTTTGTCCCTCCAAATAACACTATCCCTGAAAATGCCAGTGGTACAAATGATAAAGTTAATAGTGAGAATTTATCCTATCAGTTCTCAAGAAAGTTCCTCACTTTTCTCTTCTTGTTAAATTTCAAAAAAATCTTTAACACTTAAAATAGAACAGTGATGAGTTAAGACCTGGCTTAAACCTTCTCCAGAGCACAGATACTACATTAAAAATGCTGGATCAAACTTTTGTCCCTCAGTTCGTCAAGCCATATTCTGCTGAATGTGTTTCTAACAGCGAAAAGAATGCTTCTGAAGTGAACTTATTGGAAATCAACTCCTTCGAAGGTAAGCATACTTAGCTTCGAGTCTTTGAAATGTAGAGCAATACTTAATTTCTGGTATTTCACAAAGCTTGGAGGTTACCCTCATGGCTTTCTACTTGGGCATAAATTGAAATTAAAGCATTCGGAATAATAAAGATGTGAATATTCTAATTTCGTGTCTATTAGCTGATCACTAGATTATAAGCCTATATTCGAAATCTATAAGTATTAAGTCATAGAAAAACTACATTGAAATCAGAAAACATAGGAGGGTGTTAATCTCATTGCAAAGCTTTGTAGTTCTTTTACTTAAGAATTTAAGAATATGATTAAGACTTTCATCAAATATATAAGCAAAGAGCTATTTTTATTAAGAAGTACTCTAAACTCTAGTAACTCTTTGAAATAATTTTCATGCTTACCAAATATATAGTTCCTTGAAATGAAGATCTGACACTTTTTAAAGATGATGTCAAAATGGAAGGGAGTTCACAAATTGTTCTATCCTGATCAGATGGTTCTAAACCCTCTAGCCCAAAAGAGAACGGAATTCGAGAGGATTCATTGTACAAATCCTCTATCAGACAGATGAGGAAGTTCTATAGGGACCTCTTCAAGGATAACAATAGAAATATTGTGAGGAGGAGGTACAAAAACTGAAAAACTAGGCAGATTTATGAAAAACTCCACTCAACTCTAGAAAAAGAAGTTTTAGAAGGTTCTCTAACTCCAGACCTTGTGTATTTCACAATGGGAATTATTGACATAAGAAAAACCTCTCACTTGCCTTGTAGCCAAGCCTGAAAACTCGAAATATCTTTGTTTCTGGAGCTCACAAGAAGATTTTCCAAAAAGAGGCTTAGAAATGCATTGAGATCTGAAAATCTGAGAACACTATGCTGGACATTTGTCAAGAGTAGAGATAATTGTGAGACAAGTATCCTACACAGAGAACTAGAGGTTTTTGATGACTAAAGACACCCTGAGTATTTAAAAATAAAAGTTGTTCTCAATAAATATAAACCAAACTTTCTCATAAAACTAATTTTCTTGCAAGACTCGGTTAGCTAATAATTAGTATAAGCTTGATGACAAGCTTTAGTACACTCCTTAAGAATATTTTGCAGATTTCAGGAGATAAGCTCGCTGGGGATAAAATTCTTCCCGTCCTGCTTTGAGATTAGTACGACAAATATTCCAAAGTTTGCTATAAATTAACACTATTTTGTCTTCAAATCTGAAATTTGTGAATCCATTCATTCTTTTAGGTCTACCGGCATTTCAATTTTTTATTAAATCAGAGTTCTTAGTCTGAGTGTAAGGCATGAAGAATAGGAAACACAATAATATTTATACAGATCTTTGAATTCAGCAGACAAATTAACTAGCATAGTATCTTCAGCCAAATCTGAAAATAGGCTTGATTTAATATGCTAATAATTTTTGAACAAATATCACAATTGAAGAGGAATCTAACTTAAATGTTACAAATTTATTAACTTTAATATTGATGTAAACTTATTTATACAGCAAGAGGAAGCTATCCAAATTAGTTTAATAATTACTATTGAAAGCAGTGGTTCTTAATAATCAACTTCAGCAGGAAATTTTATTAAAGTTAATCATAGAACAATTTTAGAAAAAGTAATAGCAATCACCAAATCGTGTAGGCTTATTTCATCCAGAATTATGCTGGAATATGTCTACTTAATCCAGATAAGTTGGTAAAACCAAAATCAGCCCTCTATTTACACTTCAGTTATTATTTTATAATCTTCCGTTTATAAAACCTCTATTTCTTCTATTCTGGCATGAAATATAAATAAAAGTCGGTATGTAGAATATTAACTGAGATGGTCCCGGCAAGTCTATGAAAGAAGGATTGGAGGTAAACATTACTAAATTTAGTAGTTTGAACAACCCTGCATGATTCGAGGGTTTCTCCATTACTCTCTCTTTAATTTCCTTTCTTAATAATTCGATGTCAAAAATAAACCAATCTTATGAGTGAATGTCAGATTAGAAGAATTTCTGACAGAATGAAATTTAAGTTGCGTATTTGTCAAGTTCTCTAGTTTGGCGCTATACAAAGCGTTGCTTCATTATATAGCCTAATTATATTAAAACCGTAAGTAGCAGAGGCTGAACTCTAAAATTGTGCAGTTTTGTTACTGTCAGTACAAGGAAGTGCATTTTGTGTTGAATTTTATGACCAGATTCAGAGAAAAATAGACAAATTAGAAGAACACAGGATATCCATGGAGAGGTCTAAATCCATTCTCCTCTGCATTATGTATGGATACAATCCTAAATTTAGCTTTAGGGGATATTTTTAATCTCACAGCATCGTAATATATCTCAGGTACGGTTTAATAGTTAAAATAAGTAGTATGAATCAAATAGTTACCTGAGATTTTAAATAACCAAATGCGAAAATGCTATTTTGTACAGAAAGAAAAAACAATATTTCTGAATTTCGCTTTATTAGACCATTTAAAAGCACATGAATACAACTCTGAGAGTAATTAGCTTCGTCATCATCCAAGGTTTATAGCTTAACGTTCAAATGATTTGTGATGTCCTTTCTTTGCAATTTGTAGCTGTTTGAATTTCTTGTGTTAATTTTTAATATGAAGGTAAAATATATACAAAAGCATAACCTCTCCTCCTAATAAGTTTAAAAATACCTTAGAGCAGGTTTAAAACAGAACATTATTAGAATAAATAGACTTCACTTAATAACCTTATGGGAAGGTCCCAATAACCAAGTGCTTAAATTAGAAATTACAAAGCGTACGATGAAATTATTATGGCAAGGGTAAGAGAAGTTCTCTCTGATTCTTATTCTTTTGATTTTTGAAACGTTCTTGGATCGAGAGCAAAGAGCCTTATATAAAAATAAGCTAGCTAGCTTCATACGATTTCTAAACTCCATCAAATTTAATATTGTACATCAGCTTCTTATAATTATCATAATTAAATTATTTTTCTAGTAGCAGAATTTTTACTCTAAATTTGCAGAAAGATAGCCATTTTTAGCTAAAAGTTTGATTTGAGAATTTTTAATCACTTATTCTTAAAATTCTGCCAAACACTTCTAACCTTGCCTGAACTGTTACAAAACATCAAAAAGAAGAAACATTCAAAAAATTTAAGATTGCCTTTAAGAATACTTTTGGGCTGAAGATTACTAGTTTAAAATAAGTTGTGCTTGCTTTAGAACTTTCAATCTGTTGTTTTTCAAAAACTTCTATCCTAATAAACCTATTCCACAATAAACTTATTTTAGATTAGAATCATTTACTTTTAATGCTCTCCAGCAACATTTTTAGGAGATCTTTAGAGAGGCTTTCCTCGGCTCAAAGATTTTTAACATTCCTTTTCTAAAACCTCCATTAACCTAAGCTAGGAGTTTTAAACTTCATATTTTTTGGAATAAAATTGAAGATGAATAAAATAAGGCTCTTATCTTTATAGCAGCAATCTGTATATAACAAATTCTTTGAATTAGTGTTATAGTACTCAAATATCTTAATACTATCCATCAGTTCTATCATAAAGACTAGATCCACTCGAGATTTCCAAAATGCTTTCTGTTTTGCCACATAGCTTCATAAATCGTTGATGCTAATAAAATAAGAAACTAAAATATCACTTATTTCATCATATAAAGAACTATGGTATTCGAATCATTGGGGACAATTGTAATTTTAAATTATCGCAAAGACTCGTAAAATGATGGGCTACAATAATTTTAATAGGAGTTTCAACACAAAATTTCCATCTCGGGGTTTTGGGGTTTTGGGGTTTTGGGGTTTTGGGG